TCAAAATCTATCTAGGAAAGTATGGGAGCTATCGTAGGTCTACCATCTCGTCAGACAAGGTATGGAAAACTATACTTGATAGCAATCTGTTGATTTGTGTCACTATCTAGACACGTTCTTCAGTCCCATCTTTCTTGGATGCAAGTAATGCAGAGACAAGACATAGGCTTAAATTTCCTCGCAAAGATCCCCTAGAAAATAGCTCATCAATTTATCAATTAAACTAAATGTATTCACTTAGATCTACATAGAAGGTTACTACGCTTGGTAATCGAGATTCATGAACTAGGTCAATTGTATATTGAATAATGTACAACAGAGGGACTTCGTTTGGCAAATCTATAAGAGCAACATCAAAAAACCCAGAGAGTAACCTAGTCACTTCTACGTGTTGTATCTTTTTGAATATGCTAGTGGTGCCTTGACCTACCTACTTAGTACAACAAGAACAACCTTTGATTCCTTACTTTGTTCTATCACCTTTCTTGACAAAAGATGCAATTGTTTCTTTTCAACTTGTCACTAGTTGCAAGCTTCACAGTCTTCCTGACCTCAAAAGACGCAGTTGTACTCATGGGTTGCAAGAGAATGTCTCTTGTTCCCGTAAAAAAGGAATGCATTTTCTCGCTCAGTATGATGTACATCTCGATCTATTGCCAAGGTCGATCAAGAAGAATACAAGTCACTTGCATGGGAAAGACATAACACAAGATGGTGTCTCTACACTTACCACAATGGAAAGAGACAAGACACTTTTAGTTACTTGGATTGATGTCTCATTATCCATGCTACCATGTATGGTTGCCGATGTGGTTCTATGGGAAGTTTGTGATGCTCTACGGTTGAAGAGAACACTATATTCATGTAACTTCCACCATCAATTACAAGCTTTTTGGCTTTAGGTCCACAAATTACAAGAGTTTGAAATATTGTAGTACGACACCAATCATCTTCCTCAACCTTAGTTGTTGCAAAAATAGCCTTGACTAAGGACATAAGGAAGTGTTCACATGGCCTTCATCATCAACTAAGTTATAATCATCAAAGGAAGCATCACTATCCCTATTTGTTGTGTTCCATTATTCTCCTTCGTCTATCCCACTATGAAGTTATTTTTCTTAGGGCATTCATAACCCATATCGCTTGGTTTCCCATGCCTGAAGCAGACTATTCCTTATTTTTAGTGTCAGGTCTGTTGGAAGTTGAGTTTGCAAAAATAGCTCTAGTTTAAGCTTGTTGTGCAGAACCTACTCATATCTCATCATTTGCTCTGGAGTTTCTCCTAGAGGTTGGTTCTCCATGGGAAGATTCAAATTTTCTTGAAGATGGGCACTTAAAATATGCTTCCATGTCTAAGGTAACTAGGTAAGTTTATGTTGTAGTTGCAAGAGGATGTTGAATTAACTCTCTTTTAATCTAAATTTACTTTGAATTTAATTCTTCAAACTTTTGTATACTTAGTTATCTACATGTTGCCTTGATTTAAAATGTAAACTTGGTTATGAAGTTTGTCAAAGCAGTTGGGAGGTAAATACTTTTCACAAAGAATGACTTCCATCTCATCCTATGCTTCAACTGTCAATTGTCTCCTTCTCGTCATATTCTCATCAATACTATACCACCATATTTCAGCAAATCCAAGCAACTTTGTCGTGGCAAATCAAACTCTTTGTGCACCATGACATGTCATACAAGTTAAAGTATTCTTCTATTGAGTTAGGTTAATCGATTAAAAAAACTGAAATCTCTTCTTCCTTCAAAATTAGGAGCTTCCACTTTTACCTTCTTGGTAACATCTCGAACATTGTCTTCAACATGTCTTCGATCATGAGCAATGACCAATGCAGCCTACAGAGTATTTGAACCCGCGGGGCTATCTACTTCGCTACTCAACACCTTTAGGTGAGGACTATTAGGAGCCAAGTGACTGCTGATACGGAATTGCCGTATTGTGAAATTGAGGTTATTTTAATTTTTCAAGTTAAGCAGCTAACTACATAAGCTGTGAGAATATTGTCATTTCTGTTAAACAGAAAAATGAACAAACTCTATATCCCCTTCTCCGCAACTTATGCAAATTCCTCCTCCTACAAATTTCTCATTTCCTAATTTCAAAAAAATAAATCATTTCCTCTATTTATTCCTTATTTAGGATCTTCATATCCAAGATCTCTCTCTTTTTTCTTCCGGGGGATGATCCTAAAACACAGTAAGAGGCTGGTTTTGACATAAGGACCTAAAGGTTATGGACCCTCACCTTCCAATCAAAGATTCAAAATGAAAAACCATGATCATAAAACAAGATTTAATCTAGTTAGCTGTTCAATCATATATGTATACCTATGCTCTAGTCAGAACCCTCCACCAAAACGATGGTGTTCGCGGGATTGCCAGTTAAAGGAAAAATGTAGATGGACATTAATTGGAAGTATATAGCATGGAACATAAATACAGACTCGAGTAATGCAGTAAGCAAATAAAAGAAAAAATAAATAAAATGAATTGAAGCAAAAATAGAGGAACCAACAGATTAAGATCTCTCTTAGGGCAATAAAAAACAGTATATTGTCAGATAGGTTGCTGGGAGTTTAGAGACTATAACTTTGGAGCTGAGATGGCACTAAAGCTTGGAAGAGTTGCTTCATCTTCTCTTTCCAGCATAGAGCCTTTACTACCAGCTTTTTGTATTTTGTTTCTCTTATTAAAGGGAAGATTTGGGAGACCTAAATATATTTTTATTAACGTTTTCTTGTGAATCATCATTATATATATAGGTGACACCATATTGGTGCTTGGAAGAGTTGCGCTAAAGCTTGGAAGAGTTGCAAATGAATCATCCTCTTCATCTCCTTTCCACAGCATAGAGGCTTTTACCACCAACTTTTTGTATTTTGTTTCTCTTATCAAAGGGAAGATTTGGGAGACCTAATATATTTTAGTACTGTTTTCTTGTGAATAATTATGATATATATAGGTGACACCATACTGATGCCTTGCAAACCGAACTAAAAGAAGTAATATAACGGTGTACAAAGGATAAAACTGAAGAAGTTTTAATCAAACAAAACTCTAATGCTTTCTGCTGCATCGATTTAAAATGCTAGATTTATTAACCAAATAGTAATTGTATTAAGCCTAATGTCGAAACCTAAACAACATAAAGCTTTCAATTTGACAGGGAAAAATGAGATTTGCTAACTACTTCTCACCACTGGCTCATCTCTGGCTGAGATATCCTCATCAAGGCCCCTTGACAAGGCTACACGCCTCTGCAAAACTGGAGCCATCAATGCGTACAGTTACATAGCCCTAGTAATCACGAGACCTTTCTGGATAGGTTCTTCAACCCGCATCCAACACATTTAAGAATAACTGTCTCAGTTGAAGGATCTGGCTTTATTACAAATTTAACACCCAAGAAATCTCCAATGTTTCTGAGTGTTTCTATTCCGTAAGGTGAGAGCTTCCCAACACGAACCTTCGAGATATCCTGCGGGCATAATGCACAAAGAAGAAACAACAAACCCTGGTGCGTCGAATCTACCACTCCACCCTGGGCAATCTCTTCCAGAAGAAAAGAAGCAATTTGCACGCCAGTATCCTCCGGAGGGATCACCTCCTTCCTTTCCACATCTTCCATTTCACCAGTTTCTTCTCCCTGGTCATAACAGACTGCAGTATCAGCAGAGATGAAGCAACCAGAAGTAGTTTCCGCGACAACTGAAATTCCATAACCAGGTGAGTTTCCAGCTTGTGGACCAGCTTTATGATCACTAAAGAGATGAACATCAGGAAGCAAGTTATTAAAGATTCCACGAGCAGCATATCTCATAGAATGTTCAAAGTCAGAAGACACTTTTGCAGAAAAAGTAACCCCTCTAATCCTCTTAACCATTCCCTCATCTATCCAAGTAACTGCCGTTAAACATTGAACAACAGGAACCGAGAAGAAAACTTCCCCACCACCTCGAGGTGGAGCTCCACGACTCACTATCTTCAACTCTAATCCTTCTGAAGGAACCCCGAAACGCTTCAAGAGTGGTAGGGTAGTAGAACGAAATGTATCAACACATGGATCCTTTGAATCGTTTGTAATGCCTTTAAGCCTGATGGAAAGAGGTTTTTTGCCAAACAACCCAAGCACAAGCAGAGGCTCCAAGAAATAACCAATGGATCGACTAACACCACAGTCGTGCACCAGATTCTTCCCTCCCATCAAGATCCCAGGCTCATACTTCAATTTCGTCCCCGTTTCGTTTATTTCGATGGTGCAATCATCGGAGACTTTCTCGAGCAGGCGGAGAAGGGAGATTTCGTGAGGCTGAAGTCCGGGGAAAGTGTCGTCGGCGCGGATGTCTTCAATGAGAATGGAAGTTGAGGAAAGCGTAGCCAATAAGAGCCTCTGCCTCATGTTCCGGCTTCCTTTGAGTCTCTTGTAAGTCTTCGCCATTCTCCTTCTTTGCCTCTCTAATCGTCCTTAGGAGACCCGCCCTTGCTTTACCTTATAATTGGTAAACCCACCTTAAGACCGTTGTTCTTTCTCCGGTCCTTCCTCACTTTCTAGCTTTCTTCCCCTTTAGCACTCTGTCTCTCGGGCTATCTTCAATGAGAAACAAGAAAGCTCACAAATTTCTTTCAATTCCCTCTGCTCTGTTTGCTGCTCCCTTTGACCTCTTCTTTCCCCGAGCGAAACCCTAAGGACAACCTCCTCTGCCTCTTCTTCTTTTTTATTACGCAAAAACCCTAAATATCATTAATTGAACAACTTAAAAATTTATATTCTTAATGAATTGTTGAAGGTAATAATTTTAAACCGGTTATAATTTGAAAAAAGAAGTTAAAAAAAAAAAAAAAAAAAAATTTGTCACCCATGTATGTATATACACATGCGTGCTTTTGTATACAAATATATATATATATATTTATACTTGCTCTTTTTTAGGAGATATTAATTTATAAGAGCACAATGATCTAAAAAATTTCATTCTTTTTTTAAGTTATAATTATTGCAAATATCAAAATTTACAATTTTCAAAATTATTATTTGATTAATTAATAAGGCAAATTTAATTGATTAGTAAATAATAAAATAAAATTATTGTTTAATTAACTCGTGCCTCAAATTTGCTTAGACTACTCAATTATTTTAATAAATCTAGTTTTTTCAACGGATCATTTTCACCCATAACCAATCATGTTATTGAAATGTATGAATTTTTCTTTTAAAAAAATAAAACATAATTATCGTTCCTGTCTCATCCCTTCAACCTTCATGCCCAAGCTAGTTAGTGGGTCCTGTTAAAATGTGCATCTTTTCTCTCATTAGAACTTTATTCAACTAGTCTTTAAGAAAAAAGTTATTCAACTATTACAACCACAGGCACAGGCACAGGCCTAGCTATCTTGTTCCACAATCTCTCTCTCTCTCTCTCTCTCTCTCTCTCTCTCTCTCTCCCTCTTTAAATTCACCCTTTTTCTTTGACCTGCCTAGCAATTTTGCAATACCAGATAAAAACTCTTGTTTGGCAAATATTTTAACTGCATGACATGGCTTTTAAAGGCAGGATTCTACAAAAAAAAGGGAAGACCATTATAAAGAATGATATGCAAATAATCAAACTGATAACTTACCAATAAATAATGATTAGAAGGAAAGATACATTTACATCAATTTGTCTCTAAAAGAGAAAGTTCATTGACTTCCAGATCTACTAAGCTCTCCTTCCCAAACAATGTGAATCCTACTGTTGCCTGCAAGAATATATGTTTTTCCTCAATAATTAACTCTACCTTATGGGTGAACAAATTTTTAAAGTGTCTATATCACTGTCTAAGAAAAGATAAAAAGGTCAATAAGTCGTCTAGCAAAACTTGCAGGGTCATATTAGTTTTGATATATCAAATTATGTTGATAGAAATAACATACCTTTCCTGTTCTGCGGTTTAGCTTTTTTAGGCTGCCAACAAATTCTGCAAACGTCCCAGATACGACCCGAACAGTTGAACCTGGAGAAAGGCGTTTCTTATCCTTTGTAGACGATGACTCATTCACAAGTGAGTCAGAGGTTTTTCTTGCTCGCCTTTTCGGTTTAGAATCTGAAAGAGAATTTATAACTTCATTGGAAACTACATTAGAGTCTACACTGAGCTTCTCAGAATTTAAGGTTCCTTCTCCCCGCTGCTCTTCTTTGAAAGCTTGATCAGTTTTCTCTTGCTCCTCTTTTGCCTGTCGGAATATTGCTTCCATGTCATCTGCAGCTACTGGCCTGGGTTTGTTTATTTGTCTTTTTCTACAAATGTTGAAAGAAGAGTATCAAATTTGACAACTAGGAAGTAGGAAGTAAACTTGACTGAAATCCTTCACACATAAACCAGGTGTCAATTCAACGGAGTAACTATTTTCCAGGTTGAACCTTTTAACCGGAGACTAAATTAGCTTTAGTTAAGAAATGACAATGATATTTTCAAGTATTAAAGGTTAAGGAGTGTAAATGCTATAAAAACCAAGATGAAAAACAGGATTGAGAGGACCATCAACAAACATCACTTGACGAGAACCGTGATAAGAGGAAAAAGATAGAAAATTGCCGGCTGAACATACTGGTGTTGTTTTGGAAGGAACATGGATTATTTTATTTCCAAAAAAAAAAAAGAAAAAGGAACGTGGAACCTAGACCACACCTATGATCTTGGCAAGTGTTGTTGACCATGAATGGAGTGAGATCCATATTCGTAATTGTAGAATTCTAGAATAAAAAAATAATAATGTTGTGTGCTTTGTTTAAATGTACTATTGATGTAATTTGATTATGGGGATATCTTATCCATATCTTAGGGAATATTTTATATTTATCTTAAGAGATAATTTATATCTATCATGTGAGATATTTTAAGTATATTCTGAAGAATTTTTTGAGAGAAAACCTCTCATAATTTTTCTATATAAACAACATACAACCTATTGGTAATGTACTCTCAAATTATCGTAGTGGAAAATTTTTTTCTAAATCTTACCCGTGAATGTAGACATACTTACCAAACTGCGTTAAATTTTATATTTTTTTCTTATTTATGCTCTAATTTGTTGTGATTGTATGCGTTGCGAGAATTAATTTTTCCAGCATATAGATTGCGTTGTCTCCTTAAATAAAGGAGAGACAGTTATTCATTAATCAGATCCTCCAATATCTCATCCTAAAATCTATCATTATCTTTCCGAATTAAGGACAGAAAACTAAGGTTTCTTGGTATAATTCTACCTCTATACATTGATGTATCTTCTTCATCATACTAATAAGAACAATTTTGAGAAAACCTTTCAGAAAGTTACAAGGCATCAAATAATGGCACCTCTGCAAATTGCCTTATCTGAAATCCGAACCCAATTTCATGACCAAGTATGGCATGGACATCTCATCATCCAAGGTAACCTCCAATACTGAAGGAGATACGATTGCGAATACTCATTGAGGACCAGAAGGACCATCTATCCTCGTCACAAGTCATAAACTTAACAGCTATAACTACCTTCAATGATCTCAATCAGTGATGATAACTAATTTGCCATCTTTTTAGCATGTATATAGTGCTACAACATCCAATAGAATACACATCAAACCATTTTCAACACTCTCGTCTTAGATCAACAATGATGGACGAGGTTTGTGAGAGTTTAAACTAATTACAATGTTCTCGTAATCAGAAGGTAAGCCTTCAAGAATTTGCAGCACAGAATCCTCCTCAGGAGATCATGTTCAATGGAGGCCAAGAAATCACAAAGGATTTTTAATTTCTGCAAGTAGGCATTAACCCTGGAGATTTTTTTTTAGGGTGTTACAGAACTTAGATTTTAGGTGAAGAAGGCAGAAATTAGCTTGGGCATGGAAGAGATTTTCAACTTCTTTCCCAGTTTGGCAAGTAGTGAGGTTTTTGTTTGGTTTGAGAAGATTACAGAGGCTGTCAAATGAGAAAGTGGCTCATACCAGGAAGGAACTAGGAAATTAACTTGCTGTCTCTCTCTTGGTTTGGTTGACTAAATCATCTGTGATTGCGTGAGGAGGAAAAATGCTAGAGCCATCTATATGATCTGCAATTCCATAGCCAACAAAAATGGGAAGAAGTACGGCTTTCCAGATAAGGAATTTGGTGATAAAGTCTCATTAACTTAGTTCTTTATGTTGGAGACACCAAAGGAAGGATTGTACTTTTGGAGGCCACGGACAAGAGAGAAAGACTGGAAATAAGAGAGGAAGTGACTGGAAAAAAAATATATCATTAGGAGCGGCCTGGTACCATACTTATCTGCCAATGGTATATATAAAGAAGAGTCTTTGGGAGGTTGACAAGAAAGGAAATAAAATAAATACAATAAATACACTCCAAATCTATATTTGAACAAGAGAAGATACATTCAGGATATGTAGATTCTAGGCCTAGTGAGTGCTTCATATTGTGCAACAATGGTATCCAACTGTACATGTTAATTTGAAGCAAAGAGTGCATGCTAATTTAACCTAAAATCACAAGCAAGTTGAATTTAGAAAACACAAAAAATAAATACTCACGTGTTTCCGACCTTCGAACCAATGAAACCTCCAACTCCATCGCATTCTCTTACGAAGTCATGAATCTCTTTGTTTAATACACACCTTAGAAAAATGCATCCTGGAAATAGGGGCTTCGGTTTAACTGAGTAGGAACCATTTTTTAATTTCTTTTTCACCTGGATAGCGGGAGCATAAACCTGACAACAAGCAACGCATGTTGAATTATTTTCCCATAATCAGTCATTATCTCTTTCTCACGTCAAACTTCCAATTGAAAGCAATAGCACCTGCTTAAATGAAAAAGTTAACAAATTCTGAGTGACTTGTAATCAGACAACGGTAAATATACCACACTCAACGCAGTACTAATATAGTCAACAGATTTATAGAATTAAACAATAAGATGATCACCATTATATGATAACTTACAGCATCCATTGTAAGATATCAAATGAAAGAATAAGACTGAAACCTTATATATCTATTGCCTCCCTACTCTCAAGCACCTCCACGCAGCCCCTACCCAGCTGTCACATAAAGAGGGTACAATAATGCTGTACTAGACACTGGAGAGCATGCAAGATTTTGGAATTGAGACAAAATGATTGAACCTGAGGGACAGAGACATGATAAGCAATATGTGGGATGTGGAATGCTTTTTGCCGAAGGATGCACAGCGCTTATCATGAGAATGTGAAGAGTGGCAGAATCAGCAGCAAATGACCATGGTGTTGGCTTTTCCCTAGTCCAATTTGCATGATATTTTGGCAATTGAATAACCACTTACTGCTTCTAGCTTCAATAATTTTTTTCTTTTTGATAAAATGATTAATATATTCTAATTCCAGGTAAAACCAAATATATGAGTTTGAAAGATAATCAAATAAAGCAGTGACTAAAGAAGGTGAAGGAGGAGGAAGAAAAACGTTCCTAGTCAAGTAAGTGTCAATGCAGTTATCGTCCAAGACTTCACTGCAACTTATGGTACCGGTGTTTACCTTATTGGCACAATTCTATAAGTCTGCTGACCGTGCACATTCAGAACCTTTCTAGTAAAGTGACTAAATTGAAATTGCCATAATCTTCACCCAAGTATACATGTACTAACCCTATTAGTTATGTATTTAACTTTTTACATGTGATCTTGCCTTCTGAATATGAATCAACTGATTTCTAACAGAAATGACGTAAAATTTTCAATAATAAATGCTTGGTTTAACAAGCATCTGAAAGTGCAAAAACAGAGCTCCATGTTTTGCACAATAACAAGAAAAACACCTTTCCTGAGTAGTTGTAACAAGGCATGTAAATTATTAAAAAGTACAATCCACCAATTCCTTTACAACTCCTGCAAGTAGAAACATATTCAAGACTTTTGAATGCCAACAATTTGTGGGTTTTCAAGCCTAGTAGAGCATAACAATTTACTTAACAAAAACTAAACGCAACATAATACCTTAGACTGCTTACTTACAAACTCCGATTCTCTTCTAGCATTTATTCACTCTATGTTCACTTATTGCAATTTTTTTTGAGTGAATATACTGTAACAAGGATACTAAAAAACGCACAACTCAGACTGAAACCCACGTAGTGTTACAGAGGAAGGAAAGTATCAAGCATCTAGCGAACGGTTAATACTCAGTGCAAATTTCAGAACAAAATGCTATATCAACCATTATATGCATCTAATTACGGAAGGAGTTTGATAGGAAATAATAACTTGCAGCACATTATCATAATTTACTTCCACATCGTTATTGTCAGTTATTTTGACGTATAAGCAAAGTGATGACGGCATCACTTTGCCATAGATTTCTGTATAGGTGATCATATACCGCAAACCATTAGCCTAAATGCATAAACGTAGCATCTTTAAAACCAAAAAACAAAAATTTAAGGCAAACTCGAAAGCCACAAATAAAAAATAGAAAATTAGAAAGCTAAAGTACCTTGAACTCGATATCAGGAAAGTTCCTAGCCAAGGTGCGAGCGAGTACTTCTGCTGTCTCCTGACCCCTGACCCGGGAAACCCGAACCACCCACCACTGAGGACCCAATAGAGCCAAATTGTCGAGGTTAAGCTCTTCGGTCCAGGAAGCATATCTCTTTTTGGGTTTCTTCAAGAGCCTTTCTTCCACTTCTTCTCTCCAATTGTAAGCTGCTTTGTTCTCTCTCCTCTCTTTCCTCAGCTGCCTCCTCTCTCTCGCTGTGAACTGCTGCGGCTGCTGCTGCCGTTGCTGTTGGGTATTGGTGGAATCGATACTTGAAGAGACTGCTAATGGAATGTGTTTGGTTATACTTATAGAGAAGGTAGGAGAGGGGATGAAGAGTGTAGAGAGGGTGTTGCAGGGCCTCCATTGAAGAAGCCCATGCTTCATCTTCGTTTTGGTGCGATAAAAAGGGGAGGTCTGTGTTTTTCGCGATTTCCTTTTTTCCTGAATTTATGAGCAGTGGACTTTTTAAATTTTGGTTATGCGATTATGGAGTCTTACTTTGAAATAAAAATTTAAGTTATCAAAAATTAAGATATGTTACGATATATTTAAAAAAACATATATTAAAAAGTAATTTTAAATTTTAAAACTATTTAATTTTTAAAAAGAATTTAAATGTATTTTTTGTTTTTATATTAATTGTTTTTATTCGATTTAATCTCTATATTAACTTTGAGGTGGATATATAAAAATTTTTGTTATCATTTTCATAGTTGGAGAGGAAAAAAGAAAAGTAAACAAAGACGAGAGAAAATATTGGGAGAAAGGAAATATAAATATTATGTAAAATATTTATCATATCAAGTGTTATAATAAAAGACATGTGAATATATAGCATGAAAATTTAATTAATATCGCATATTTAAACTTGTGACATGTAATATGATTATTAACATTTAATATTTATTGATGGAGATTGATTAATTCAATTTTTTTCTAAAATTAAAAACTAATTTAATGTAAAATGAGGCATGAACTAAATCAAACAAAAAGAAATAATATAGGAACAAAAGTATACTTCAATTTTTTAAAATTAAAAATTTATGATAATTACATTAAGTTTTAATAAAAGATCAAATAAAGAAGAAAATCTCATAATATTTAATGGTTATAGTCACACAATATCTCTATAACAAGGCTTATATCCATATTTAACTTATAAATTTATGTGATATATATTTTATCGTATCAGAGTTCAAAATTATATTTAACTTATGTAGAGCAGGTGATACATATATTTTTATATAATACTATAGAAGAAACATGTTTTTTAATATTACATGCCAATATTTGTATTGGATTTATATTTTGTCTTATGCTCAAGTTTCTATATTATGGGACTTGATTTAAGTGTCATCCATAGTATATTTCTACCTTATAAAAAAACTACATAATTTGATATGGTATTTTTGTTATATTTATCTATTTACATTGATTAACGAGGAAAATACTAAAGAGTATACGCATTCTATTTAATAAATGAGATAATAATGATCACCACCCTTATATTTTTATAATAAATCACCTTATTGTGATAGAACAAACTGTGTAACCGAAACTACTAATTATTATTTCTTACTTCAATGTCATTTATAACTTTTTTTAATTACTATAGTAGTTATGAAATAATAGATATAGTTGTTGTGCAATGTTAATTGATACAATATTAATATAATAAATATATTATTAGTAACTGAATAAATGAATGACTGTTATATGCAGTGTAATAATTTGTTATTATTTATTTATGTTAATATTTCATTATTTTCTATTTAAACTTAAAATCACACTAGTCTTGAAATAGTTAATATATAACGTAATATATGGTTATCATTTTATTTGTTTATACATAATCCATAACTACCAAATTAGTTCATGACTTCTTCTTTTGTTACTTAGTATGCCTACATCTTAAGTATGAGTTCATTAGTTTTATAAATCATAAGGAATTTTTAAAAAGAATGTGACTTAGGTTTTTAAGCTACACATGAAAAATGATAATCATTTTTAAAATTAAAAATTTAAGTTGTTAAATTAATCATGTCATAACTAATTTTGAGATCTATGGTTGATCATTTATGAAATTTATAACAACCACAACATATATCCAAAAAAAAAATTGAATACTTATGATCCTCTAAGGCTATCTGTTACTCTGAGTATGTTACTTTTGACGTTGATATATAAGATTCATCATCAAAAGAAGTGTATATTTAGTAATTTATTATATATAAAACTAAAGAATATTTATTCAATTAAGAAAAAATTGTGGCTTATTTTTTTAATAAATAAAATTATATATTAAATTGGTCTATCATGAATATTGAATGTCTCCAACATAGTTAATATATAAACTTCAATAGAATATCTATGAGTTATATCTTATTCATGAACTTTAGGGCAGCCATAGTGATTATGATAGCCAATACTACTGTCATGCTTACATCTTGGGTTCCACCACTAAATAATATCTTCAAACTAAATTGTGATACCTCTTTAAGTGATTATAGATGGATGGGGCCCCAGTATGATATGCCAAAACATGTTGGGTGCTATGATATTTACAAAAATGTGACGACCACCTTATTGAGATTGATTAATGTGGCATAAGCTTTAACATTATGCTACAGTATGCAATTGACTTTTAAAATGGGTATTTTCAATATTATGGTGTATGATGATTATCAAAGAGTTATCTCTTTACTTAATTAATCTATTATATTATGTTTGGAGATTAGATTACTTGTTGATGACTTTTTAGCTTTAGCTTAGTTATGTAATGTTGTTACTAGTTCTTATATTTATAAAAAATTATAATTTGGTTGTTCATATTCCTACAAACGAAGTAATTTACAGTCAGGATGAGCATTATTTTATTCAGGAATCACCTGATTTCGTAGCTTCTTTATTGCAAGAGAATATGATATATCTGCTTAGTTGAATGATGATTTTAATTTTTCTCGAAAAAAAAAGTTTCGACACCGTAAGGTTTATTTGGTTATAAAACTAAGGCTCGTAATTACAATGCATGCACTTATTGTTTCTTCAAATGGTATTATGGCATGCACGTGTTGTTTCTCTAAATGGCATTATGGGATGTAACAGGCTAATTTTTTGTCTCATTAAATATAATTTAACGTATATTAGATAATATTGTATAATATAAATTATACTATCTAGGCAACTATTATTTGTAACAAGTTGTGTGCAATTCATTATATTAATTATCAAGATAAATATTATTTCATTTGGCTTAGATTGTAATGAACAAACATATGTTTAGTCATGTAAATTAAAATTTATTTTTAGTTTGTATATGATTAATTATTAAATAAATAATTATGCAATCGTATATTATGGATAACCAGTGACATACTACAATTATTCAGATGATAACAAATTATAATGTAAAGAGATATAATATATTATAATATTAAGAATCAACTAAAACACTTGCATTAACTATAATCTTAAATAAGTTGAGAGAAAACTATTACAAAAGTTTATTGTGAATTATCTTGTATCTAAGTTGGTTAAAAATTTTTGCTCGTGATAATGATATGCGTTGTTAATACGATAACAACACATTTTTTTATGAAGAATTCATAAACTTGTTATCATTAAATTATTATATTTATACGCCGTAAATATTTTATTTGGCTTACGATTATTTTTTGTGAGTAAACTTCTTAATATATTTTTACTTAAATAAAAGTATTTTAATTAGCTCTTCATAATGCAAT